CCTCTTTGTAGGGAAGAGTACAAGCAGACCACAAGAACTTCAAAATTACGTTATTTTCCCACTAGTGCAAATTCAGTGCTGCGGATTTTGTGTACTAGGAGTGTATTTGTGCTCCTTTTGAAATCTAAGAATACTTTGTACAGTAGTAGTTGGAAAAGCAACTAAATGAGAAATGGATGGTCTGAGAGCAACCCCTCACTGGAATTTGCTTATTTTCTGGGGTTCCATTAAGTGCTATGATCCCTGTGAAGCCTGGCCTCGTTTTCTATTCTGGAATTAATAGAAATAATTAATTTCTCCTCTGCTCATGTGGTAATGGTGCCTTGCATGCAGCCTTCACAGACTGCCAGTTAAGGCATGGGAAGACCTTGTTTATTGTGCCAAGTTCTACAGTGTCTAGCTTGGGGCTTTGTAGAGTTGGTGTTACATAAATGCTTTCTGAATTGAACCCTAACTTCTTTAAGCAGGCCCCAGTGCCTTAATAAAATAAGAACCAAGAATATTTGAGTCACTGATTCAAAAGAATAATGTGAAACAAATGACAGTGAAGGAGTGTTGGTATGGCTTAAGGTAAAGTGGAAAAAAAGAATGAGAAGGGTTTCTTCTAATCCGTGCAAATCCTTTCAATTCTGAACACTCTGAAGCCAGAAATAAAGGCTAAACTATGTAAAATGTAGGCAGGAGGGATGCTCTGCTATGGTTATAACCACCTAGACTTTTACTCATGTAAAGGAAAAGTAAAAATACCACTCTTCATTGTGGATACCACCCACTATACATAGCATGCACACACACACACACACACACACCACACCACAGAAACAGACACACCCCACTCAAGATAATGTATTTAAAAAGAAACCTATTTAATTTTTAGAAAGACTTTTTGGTGTACGATGAATTTTCATTTTAATTTTTTTCCCTGTAGATAGCTGGTTTAGTTTTTGTTTTTTGTTACAGAAAGTAGCAGGAGGAATCATGGTCATGGAGGAAAGAGTACCATCTAAACTTAGGAAAGAATTTGACACAAATTAGCTATGTTATGTTGATGCATCACTTAAGTATCAGGATTTGGAAGTTTGGACTATATCATCTTTTCAAACGTAATATCCTGCAATGATGTGAGAAATTTAGTAGTCCTTTTGGGAAGCTGCAAGTGGTTGGGAGATGGCCAACTAACTCCCTACCCTTTATGGAGGGTATATATTGGAGATATATATATGGAGGCTATTTAGTTTCTTTCTAGCACAAAACTAAAAAGAATAAGATAACCGGTTAAATCTGCCTCCCCCAAACACAGACACATACTCAAGGCGGCTACATAGTTTTTGCAGTTAATCTATTTAGTTATTAACATTCGTGTATATTATTGTTGTAAGTGGACCTATGTTAGTATAAGAAGTAACATTGTGCTGGAAAGGTATTCAGCTTTGTGCTTTATCTGGAAAATTCTGAAAAATTAATTTGACTTTGTATTTTGAATTTTATACCTTTAAGCTGTCAAAAATTCCCTGTTATAAAAATAACTTCCATGTACCTACCAATGTATATTGAAGGATCTGTCTATGCAATTATCAAGCAAGAACATAAGCTTTAAAAAATGTGCGTGTCAACAAACAAAAGGTAGCGTTCCCTTTGACTTGCACTAGAGGCATGGAAATACCATCTATAGAAAAATGTCAAAAGCAGAAAGGTTTCAAAGTTTACAAAATAATTATACATGTCTACATTTCATGTAAGTTTTATTTAGCTCAAAATGATCTTGCTGCTTAAGTGAATAGGAGATATATAAAGGATTCACATTTTAGGAATGGGTAATTTTACTTTATTTCCAAATAATAGGATTTGAGGTCAAGAAAGATAACTAGAAAGATCAAACTTTGTCTCATCTCACCAGACGGTGGGTTACTCTTTTTAACTTGTGGGCCAAGAACAAGATTTTGCACTCAATAATTTAGTGGGAACTCAAGAAATGACTGGGTGAATAAATAATGATCTGTTTTTGCTGGCACATAAAGAAGTAATTCTAGTTCTTTCACCTTGTTTGGAAGAGGTTTGTATGTTTCAAAATCATAAAAATAAATCATAAAAAATAAAAGATCTGTAGGCAGAGAACTGAAAACATCTAGCATAAGATATTAGGATACTGAGAGCTGGAGAGAGGCAGATAAAGCAGTTGTTTACCAGTAGAGACCAGTGTCAGTCTGTCTGTCCATTTGTCTGTCTCTCCCTCTCTCTCAGTCTTTTGCAGGGAAAAGCACTGACATTTTTTCCAAAATGCATGTTTTTACTTCTTTGTTATTCTGTGTTTTTTCAGAAAGTCTGACTCATACCTCCAGAGAACTAATTTAGTGAGCAGGAAATTTATTTGAAGTCTTAGGTATAAAATGAGCAGTGGTTTCACTATGGAAGATAGGGTGAGTGATATGTATCCAGAGATGAGAAAAGAAGGTATCTACCATTTTGCAATCTTGGCTTTAAGAAAGAGTTTGCACAAACTTCTGTTTGTTTATAATCATGCTTCTAACATACTAACATCCTCTTTTCTTAGCAGGCTCTTTGGAGCCCAGCGGGTTCTGACTGGTGATTTTTTAGTATGCCTTTAGTGCTCCATTTAGCTTGAACATCTTCTCCTCTTGAGTTGTGCTGGTGTTGCATTTTCAATATTTCAGAAACTCTAAAGGTGCCGGCATGTATATGACTGTGTAATAGTCTTTTGTCAAGCAGCCTGAAAACTGTATATTTTCAATAGAGATAGAAGTGTGTTCCAGGCAATGTAAAATGTATTATCTTGCTGTGGGATTGCAAGAACTTCTGTGAAGTCTCCAAATGTCTAAACTGCTCCAGCTCCTGCCTAAGCAGCCACAGTTGACAAAGCAGCACTCACCTAGAGTCCTTTGTTAATTCTATAGAAGAAAAAAGAGGAAGAGTTGCTAGTGAGTCAGCTGCTTTGGTTAGCAAACATAAACATGATTAGCTTTTTAAGCTCAGAAAATGAAAAGAACCTCAAGTTAATCTGTCATTTTTCACTGTAGTATTTCCTCATCTTTCTATGGGCTATATATTTTAAATGTCAAAGGAATTTAAAGAGAGCAATTGTCTCTTTTCTGTATGTATATCACACCTTTTTAAAAAAAAATCAAGCATATGCAATCAGTCTAGTATAGAAAATTAACAACAGACAAATAAGATGTTTATTGGGGAAAGGAGAAGCTTTCACTTAAGGATATGCTATTATTTGGTTAAATTGTTAAAGTGTTACTTTTAGAGCCTTTCTGTGCTAAAATATCTATTCATAATTTTTCTAGGTGGATGTTTCAATTTTTTTTAATTACAACGGTAATACATGCTCATTAGTACAAGTCAAAATATGTAAAGAGGTATTGAAAAAAGGTTAATACTTTTCTTGTTCTCTCTTCCCAACTAGGATTTTTATTATTTGTATAAAGTTGAAATTTTATTGTATTCATAATTTTCTCCCCTTTTCCCCCACACTATAAATGTTAATTTTTAAACTTGCTTTACTTCAGTGTGTCACTGGATCTAATACATTCTTTAAAATTGTGGTATAACATTCCATAATATAATATACATAGTTTATTCATATTTTTTTCTTGATGGGCTTTCAGGTTATCTCCAGTGGTATAATAAATCTCTTTGCTTTGGAGGTTAAAGAGCCCAGCTAACAGTCAGTCACCTTGTGGATCCAAATGTTCTTGCCACCAATTTCTAGGCCATTGACACGTTTGGTCAGGAAAATAGCTTTTCTGTGTCCAAAGTGCTATCTTCCACATCGCTGTGAGGCTGGGGGGATTAGCTGTTTTTTCTACCCATGACAAAAAATTGGTCAGTCAATATAAGCAGCAGACTCTGAAAGGAAGATGGCACCAAATGTGAGTTTGCCATGGCCAAGTACAGCCCCTAAGTAAAGCAGTTTTGTTACTTAGCCTCTTTATATGGCCAATTCTGGTTTTGGTCTTAAAATAGTAGTTAATGAATATTACTTTAACAAACTTTTAGACAGTTTTGTGATTCTTTTATTTTCCAGCATCAATCTACAAAAAAGGACTAAGTTAGAAAGTGTATATCTGAAATAATAATATAAAGGCAAAAGCAAAAACTTCTAAAGTAGCAGGCAGCGAGCAGCAAAATGATCTTGAAATAAACATGAAACCCAGAATTTCTTTTCCATGTTGAAGGCCCACTCCAAGGGCTGCTTTTTAGAAGCTCTTTTTTAACAACAGACGTTGGGTTTACTTGAGGGTTGAGGGTGGAATGAGGGAGAGCTGCAGAAAAGATGACTATTGGGTACTGGGCTTAATACTTGGGTGATGAAATAATCTAAGTATTAAGATTATTAAGAAATAATAATTAAGAAATAATCTTAATACTTGGGTGATGAAATAACAAATCCCCATGACACAAGTTTACATGTGTAACAAACTTTCACATGTACATGTCTCAGATCAGAACATATCAAAATACGCAGCTCTTTCTGGGGAAACGTCTTTGAGATAAAGTAGAATTTCTTATTTCTAAGAAGTAGGAACAGAGTGTTTTGTTTGGTCCCTACAAATTATAGTTATCTGGTTTCAGCCTGAACAAGCACCACAAGCAAACACTGGCAGGCAGAGTCTCTACAGGAGTGGTCAAACAAGTCGGTTTTCATTTCCTTCCAAGCCCTAGTTTGGCTGATCCATCCATAGAAAAGCAGAACAAAAGGCAAGGGATTACTGCACCCTTAAGCATCCAAGTGGCTCATTCAGCTCGGAGCTTATTTTTAGCAATCTGTCTCACAATGAGGACTTCCTGTTCTATTCAGCAAATGTGCAAATGGATGCTCCAGGACTATAGCAGTAGACGTTGATGAAGGTTGTGATCAGTGATTAGACTCTCAGGACTGTTGTGTTTTTGATCTAGCCATGCCTTTTAACCACTGTGGTGAACATTTAGCTCTGAATAGGCTCATTTTCTTCTTCATGTGCGCATTCTATTCGTAGATGTTGCTATGAGGACAGATTCATCAAAAATGACTGATGTGGAACCTGGGGTCACCAATTTTGCATCTTCAGCAAGGGCAGGCCGCCGGAATGCCTTACCAGACATCCAGAGTCCAGCTGCCACAGGTGGAACCTCAGATTTGCCCCTCAAACTGGAGGCTCTCTCTGTGAAGGAAGGTAATACTCAATACCCTCTTAAAATTAACAGCATTGTCACTTCTTAACCAATCCTTTCTCTGGAACAGTCTTTTTTTTATCTAGTTAAAAGTGCTCAGTTTCCTTATTTGTTTCTTTAAACCTCTCAGGCTTTGTTTAAGGTTCAGTAGATTTTTCAGCCTTTTCCAAGTCAAATATTTCATCTTTTTGTCTCATGCTGTGTATATGGAAACTGAAGTTTTATTTATTCCTTTCATGTGTATTGTCATGCACAAGGCTAGTAATTGGGAATACAAAGGTGAACACATGTGATCTTTCTCTCAAAGAGCTTTCAATTTTATTGAGAAGTATTCACAAATAAAATAATTTTTCTTCTGCCATCCATTGTCAAATCACTTTGGAGGCTTCTGCTTCACTGTAGTATGCTACAAGCCCTTTAATTCCCATATCTAGGAAGAAGCTTACTGTCAAGTAGGGATGAAATTCTTCCAAGAGAGTTTTTGTATAAAAGGTGAACATTCTTCAGTCAGTGAAAAAAGATGGCATTAAGGGAAATTTAGAGCTGTCAAACCATGAAGGGAAATCTTAGGTCTTTCTCTCCATTGTTTACATATAGTTTATATAGCTTCCAGAATTTAGTCTCCTGAAAATGAATATAAAGTGTTAAAAGGGGTCTTTCATTTAAAAACCTTCATGGAGATTAAAAAACAAAAACAAAAACCCTGAATCAAAGCTAAAAAATACACTCAGAAAGATTAAAGATAATTTTAATTCCAAACCATTAGCAAAATACTCATGTTTTGTGCCCCATTTTTTACACTCTCAGGTGTACTCTAGTATTTGTTTGGGAATTTACTCTTGGTGACAGTGAAGCAAGTGAGAACCAGAGGCTGCTCACATCTAGCCCATTCCCGGTAGCCCAAGAAGGAGGCTCTTGGTTTTTTGCTTCAGGAGGCTATTTGCTACCTGGTAGAGTTACAAATGTTCCTTGTTCAATCGCTATGAAATAGTTATAGAGGCCGGGGTGGCTCACGCCTGTAATCCCAACACTTTGGGAGGCCAAGGTGGGCAGATTGCCTGAGGTCAGGAGTTCAAGGCCAGCCTGAACAACATGGAGAAACCCCGTCTCCACTAAAAATACAAAATTAACCAGGCATGGTGGCACATGCCTGTAATCCCTGCTACTCAGGAGACTGAGGCAGGAGAATTGCTTGAACCCGGGAGACAGAGGTTGCAGTGAGCCAAGATCACACCATTGCACTCCAGCTTGGGCAACAAGAGTGAAACTGCGCCCCCCCAAACAAAGAAAAATATCCTTGTAGGTCAGGGACTATGACCAGATCCTGCAGTTCCATGAGTATCTCAACTTTTTCCAAAGGCTACTTTTTCTCATATGTGACACTGTAGGTGACAGTGAAAAAGCATACACATCAACATAAAATATTATAAGAAGAAAGAAAAGATGGAAAAGATGAAGGGAAGAAAAGAAATAAAAATGTGTGTAATATTTTTGGCCTTTTAAGTTTGAAAATGTCATGTGACCATAAGAACATGATGTTGCTGTTGAAGAGTCCATTCTAAACCAGTGAGGGAGAGAAGGCAATCACTTGTTAGTATAAAAGCCTATTTAAACTTTATACATCTTCAGCACACACAAAACCTTAATGCTTACTGACATTACTTAATTAAGCAAAAGAGAGCAAATACACTGTAGGAGAGTCAGCAGTGTCCTCTATTTTGTTTTGGTCACTAGAGAGACTAGGATCTGAAAGAATATGTTCCTGTTTTTATATTTTTCTTCAAATTGTTTTGAAATAAGTCAAATGGATCAGTTAAAATCAAAATGTTAAAAATGAATTCACATATAACACCAGATGCTAAAGATTACATAAAAGAATGAAGGCATGATGTAAAGTGAAATAGGCCAGGCACAGAAAGGCAAATACCACCTGATCTCCCTCGTGGAATCTAAAAGAGTCAATCTGCTAGAAACAGAGAGTAGAATGGTAGCTACCAGGAAAATTAGGAAGATGATGATCAAAAGATATAAAATTACAATTAGACAGGAGAAATAAGTTCAAAGGATCTATTGTAGCAACATGGTGACTATAGTTAATAACAATGTATTGTATACTTGAAGATTGCCAAAAGAGTAGATTTTGAGTGTTCTTACCACACATACACATACATATACGTATACATGTGTAAGTTTGTGAGGTAATGGATATGTTAATTAGATTGATTTAGCCACTCCTCACTGTATGCATATATCAAAACATCATGTTGCACCGCAACATAAATATATATAATTTTATTTATCAATGAAAAGTTAAAGATTAGAAAAAAATACACAAAAGGAAATAGGCTTACATAGGTCGATGACATATATAATATTTTATTAACGAAGTTATAAGTAGTTTGAAAACTTATCTTTTTCTCATTAGCTAAGCATAGATATTATTATGAATTTTTAAATGAATTGTTTCCAATTGCTAATGAAAACTGAAAGCTGGGGTCTGTCTCAGATATTATGGTTTCAATAATTTTTTCACTTAAAAATACAAATTCTGAGGTGAGGGAGATCTGCAGATTTCCCTCAGATCTATTCTCTTTTGTTTTTATTTTTAATTTTTAAATAAATATTATTAATATTATAAAAATTAATATTTATTTAAAAATATTAATTTTTAAAAAACATTATTGTGTGACAGGAAATCTAGGATTTCAGTTGTCTTGCATCCTGCATGAAATTAACCTGAGATTTTCTCAGTTCATAATCTGTCTTAATCTATCCCTCATAAATTGATAACCACGATAAGAAGGACTATGATATTTGATGACATATGAACAAGAGATGACAGAGGGTGGCATCATGGGAAGAAGAAAGGTCCGTGGATTTGAGATATGCTTTATAGGCAGAATCAATAGGGCTTGCTAATGAATTGGATGTGGCAGAGGTGAGGAAGAGAATTGGAGGATAACTCCTAGAGCAGCCGGGCAGGTGCTGATGCCATACACTGAGAAGGGTTAGCCTAGAGGACAGGCAATTTTGAGAGTTGGAGGAGTAAAGATTTCTGTCTTCAGAATGCCTATGAGACATCTAAATGCACATGTCAATGAAGCAATTGGATATAAAGGTCTAGTGGACCAGAAAGAAAAACATTCAGAATGTTTGAGTGTTTTTTGTTTTTGTTTTTGTTTTTTGAGATGGCGTTTCACTCATGTCACCCAGGCTGGAGTGCAATGGCACAATCTCGGCTAATGCAACCTCTGCCTCCCAGTTTCAATCGATTGTCCTGCCTCAGCCTCCCAAGTAACTGGGATTACAGGCACCCACCACCAAGCCCGGCTAATATTTGTATTGTTAGTAGAGATGGGGTTTCACCACGTTGGCCAGGCTGGTCTGGAACTCCTAACTTCAGGCCTCCCAAAATGTTGGGATTATAGTCATGAGCCACTGAGCCTAGCCTTGAGTGTATATTCTTAAAACATATTTTATATGACTGAGGAGAAACAGTGCAAATGAAATTCTCCCCTGACAAGCAACATGAGTAGATTACCTTTTCAGCACAAATGGAAACACAGAATGTGAAAAGGAAAGGGAGCCTTAAAAGGTCCCCACTCTTTTGATTTATAGATGTTACCATAACTAAGCCCCAAGCAGGTTAAGTGATTTGCTCAAGCTCACAAAAATTAAGTGATAATAGAATCTCTGGTTCCAAAGCCTTAGTCTTTCCCATTATACCAACTTTTCTCAATAAATGTTTCACAGGAATTCTTCTGGGTGTTAATGTGTTACATACAAAAAGGGTGTTGTGGTCAAATAAGTTTGGAATTGGTGGTTTAAACATAATTGGCTTTTTACACTTCTCAGAATGTTTCCTTTTTAGACAAGGACTTCTCAGAGCCTTTGTTACAGAGACTTTAAAGTAATAGTGTGTCTATACCCTTCTATAAATAGAACATACAGCATTTCTTTCTCCCATTTATTTGACCATCTCTGAAGAAATATCTTGCAGAATTATTGTTCTGTGAGGCACTCTGAAAATGTGACAAGGAGTAGAAAAGGTAGTTGATACCAAGAAGAGCAGAACACAAGGATGGAAATAGAAAATGTAAAAAAAAAAATAGACTATTGTATCTGATTTATATTAATGAAAAGCCTGATTTAGTAAACAGCTAAAGTATGTTACCTAAAAGATATATAATAAGGATCTGAATGTAATGTTTATATAAATGTTACCGTGTGTGTGTGTGTGTGTGTGTGTGTGTGTGTGTGTGTATGAGAAATGTTTTTTCAAGCTAGGCTTCCAGAGAACAAATCAAGCCAGATAATCTAGGACTCAACGTTTTCTTACTTTCCCAAGAGTTCTTATTATAATCAAAAAAGTGAGATAAGTAACTGTTCAAAAAGCTTATTCACATATGAAATGACACGAACCGGATTGAAAGGAAAGTTTGATGTTTCTCTCAGAGAAATTATGTTGAAGAAATATGTTGAAAATATATTCAATTACATTGAAACACTTGACATGTGCAGAAAGGTTGAAGAATAACAGTAATGTTGATCAGAAAGTACCTAATATATGAAAAAGAGTTTTCCTTTCATTAACATCACATTACAAAGTTGACAGCAATCATAACCTCTTGAGCAGTTTATTGTTTCCTTGTATCTGAAATCATCTTTCAACATATTTCTAAACACTTTCACATTACAAAGCAAAAAATGAGACTACAAGAGGTATTTTAAATCATGTTTTATATTTTAGTTAATAATCCCAAGCAAGATACTAGATTGACAACAGATGATATCTTGTTAGTTTTCATCTAATTATTATCTTGAATTCTTACTTCATTTCATAGAAAGATAACAAGTTAAGGGGATTTCATATCATCATCTGCTCATTAGACCAACTTAGAGATAGCAAATATAGCAACTCTTCTCTGAAAGCTAGAAACCTTTGTGTGTAGTTTGCTTAGAATCAGTGTGGCAAGAGTACCATTTTCTATTAAGCTTGTTTTTCTAAGAGAGTTCTTTCAAAACACTTATTAAGCATCTGCCATGTTAATTAGAAGACAACCAGTTATGATCACTAGAGTACAAATTCCGCCTTGATCCCAATTCTCCCTCCAACTACTGCCCTCCGTTTCTGTTTCATGACAAAATTCCTTGTCAGAGTTACCTGCTTCTGTGGCTCCAAATCCTCTGCATCCCATTCTTTTTGCCTAATAAGATTTTCACCTCACCACATCACTCCACTGCTGTTTCAAGATCACAATACACTGTCTCTGCCAAAATCAGTGGTTCGTTCTTAGTCCTCATCTTGCTTGATCTCTTAGTCATAGATGATTGTCATTCTTTCCTGTAATATTTATCTTCCCTTGGCTTTCCGGACACTTCACTCATCTGGTTTTCCTCGTGCTTCCCTGGCTGCTCCTCCTTGAGCTTCTCTTTCCTCATCTGCCCTAACTCTTAGTAAATTGGAGATTATCAGAATTCAGTCTTTGGACATAATCTCTATCAACACTCCTTCATCTGTGATGTAATCTGAGTTCATTGGCGTGATGATCGTGCTTTTGATGACTTACAAATTTGTATCTCCAACCTGGGGCTCCCCTGAGCTGCACACTCATATACTAACTGCCTAGTTGGCATCTCTGCTTGGATATCTAACAGGAATCTCAGGCTTAATGGGTATAAAAGCAAACTCCAGATAGTCTCCTGGTGACAGCTCCTTCTGCATTTTCCCCACCTCTGCAAATCATAATTCCAGTTAACAAAGTTATAGCCGAAAACATTGGAATCATCTTTATCTCCCCTCTTCTTCTCATATTCTCCATCCCATCTATAAGCGAATACTGTCCGCTCTACCTTCAAAAGAGGTCCATAAATTTGCCATTTTTCACCCACAAGATCTAGTTTTTTTGGTACCTCTATGACTCCATTTTCCATTCCAATTTTCTCTACCATTGTCCTCCCACTTGCAAATCTTTCCTGCATATTACTGTCTTGGTTTTGCCTTTCTCTGTGCTTGGAATGCTCTTCTCCCTGCTCTCTATATAGAATTCTGCTTCACCTTCTCAGGCTTTATTCAAGTACCCCCTTCTCAGTGAGGCATTCCCAGCTAACTCTGTCTAGAATTGCATCCTCCAGGCCCCAAGACTTCTTGAAAATTTCCATTTTCCACTCCTGCGTTAATTTCTTCATTAGCCCTTTTTACTTCTTATTGAGCACACATTTTATTTATTTTGTTTATTATCCATATTTCTCATCAAGTATTATTTGAGAGCCTGGATTTATGTTTTGTTCATTGCCTTGTATATAGTACCTGTTTAATAAATATTTGATGAATGAAAGTTGAAGACCTGAATAGAATCCATCAGATTTCAAAGATGCCATTTATGACGTGGTAGGAACAATTCTGGAAGAATAGTAGACCTAAATAGTTTTACTTAAAAATGGAGACAGCAAAAGAGGGGTACTTTTTAAAGGATAAAAGAGAAGATAGTATGTAGAAGACTTACAGCTGAAAGAAGATCTTAGTTAATTTAAAGATGGTAGTGACTTGAGGGAATGACGGAGCCAGGAGAAAGTCAGATAAAATGGAGAGCAGCAGATGATTATTAGAGTCAGCCTCCTGATGAAGAAAAATGGATAGGATGAGGAATCATGAAGGCGTTAGACTGGATAGCAGGAGCAACAGCAGGAGCCAGCTCCAAAATTGTGCAACCAGGGTGGTTGCATAAGGCTTCTTGCTTAGAAGAGATTTGCACTTGGTTTACTGTTCTACTGTTGCTGTCTTGAAATTTTTCATAACTTTTTGAACAAGGATACTGCATTTTCATTTTGCACCGGGCACCAACAAATTACCTACCCAGTGCTGACAAGTGCACCTTCCATTGTAATAACAGGAAGGGCAGAAAATAAGCACAGATCACAGGGAGTTTTAGACATTTAATGGCAGGAAGTTGAGGGAGCTCCTGTCTGATAGCTTTGATTATTTATTTTTTCTATGAAGTGGAAAGTGACAAAGAGCAAAGGGAGTAAAAAGTGTCAAGAAGCTGGAGAGAGTGCAATCCTGCATAGGAAGTTGGCTAAGGACATGGACCGCAGAGTCAGTTGGTCTAAGCTCAAGTCGTGACTGTCACTCACTAGCTCTCTGACTTTGGACAAGTCACTTAATCTGCTTGTGTTTCCGTTTAGTAATCTGTAAATGGAGGTCCTGAGAATACCCTAGAAGACTGCCTGGCACTTAATAACTATGTAGAATAGGAGAAAGTTGATGAGGAGAAAGTAGATTCCCAAACCTACTCATATCTCTCCTCTTTGTGTAGTTTCCATATCTGAATTGAGGGCAAAAGAGGGAGGGTGGACAAAGGGAAAACCAACGGTTTTATTCCACTATAATATAAAATAAATTTCAATATATTCTACATATAAATGGAAAATTAATTTTTTTCAGATGTAAAGGAGAAAGATGAAGAAACAACACAAGACCAATTGAAAAAGCCTCAAAATGAAGGAAAATGAAAGCTCATAATCTATCAAGAGTGCTGAATTTCCGCATGTTGAAAGACTTAGTGGTTCTGTTTTCCTGAGTTATTTAATCTGGTGGTAAATATGATAACATTGCATCCCTAAGCAGCATGTGTATATTAGATAATTGTGTTGCGAAACTACTCACTTGGATTGCAATGATGATGTCCAATGTAGGGTATTAAAAGACAGGTTACTTCCAAATCGCACCAAAGGAAAAGGTCAAGAATAATACACGATCACGCAAATACATACCTTTGTCTCCAAAGCCAACAAAAATCACTGTTCTCTTTTGCATTTATTTAGCCTGATGTATGTTTAATTCAAGTTTTACAGTGATGGGCAAATCATTTCCTGGTAAATGTAAATCGAACACCATTGATTTAAAACTTCATGGAATTTGTAGAAAATTATGTGCTTTTTTTTTTGGTGAGAATGAACAATAGTCAAAATTCACGTGGATAGAGTGTGTTTGGTTTTAGCCAAAAATACTCCAGATTTTTTCCCATACCTCAAAAGAGATTTGGAAAAATTATAAAAGTTTGATAATAGAAACGTCTTTAGAATGCTTTTGTCTGATATATTTTGCTTCTAGTATGTGCCTACTGTGATTTTTTCATGCGGGAAATGCAAAATTTGTAACAAAATGATTATATGGAACATCTCTATTAAATGAATTTTACTATATTCCTTAACTTTGGTGTGTTTATGTGTGCGTGTGTTTTACTTTAATATGAATTATACAAAATATTAGTTCTTTTACACTCTTTTTTCTTATTCTTAGGGCTTTTGTGTATGTCTGACTTGTTTCTAAAATAACTTCCTCAGGAATGCAGACCTTAATTTTTACATATTTTTTAAGTAGCTACATAGCAGTAGGCACTTATGCATTTAGTCAATTACATTGGTGGAAATAGTAAATTACATCCTTTAAATATATATCTAATTATATATTTTAAAATGAGCAAAAATACAACCAAAGTGTTAGTAAATTTTCATTAGACATTTTAGAAAAACAATAGAATTTTGAAGTTTTATAAATGTCAGTGATGAATTTATATTCATTTTCAGAAATATATGCATGCAGTAATATTGTATTTGACTGTTGACTTAGGCCACGCCTGTTTACAGTAACCAAATAAACTCTTTCACTATTAAAGAGATTTGTTACTGACACAAATCTCCTTCATTTTATCTTCAGAAGTATGCTGGGTAAAAAATGGGTGACACATTTTAAAGAACAAAGTTAGTCTTTGCAATATAAATCGCCTCCTGCTTATTATTTTAATGTCAATACAAGAACCTGATTGCTTTAAGTTTTCAAATATCATTTTTTTCTTTATTAATCAAAAGTAATATTTTAAGTGTAGCACTAACTTAATATTCAATAAAATTTATCACAGCCGTTAAAATTATATTTCTAAAAGTTATTTAATGACATGAGCTTAGGTGATCAGAATAAAGAGGGGTTAGAGAGGAACTGTGGTTTCCACCATGGGTGGGGAAGCAATTTCGCCCCCTAGAGGCCATTTGGTAATGCCTGAAGACATTTTTGGCTGCCACAACTGGAGGTGGAAAGCAAGGGAGAAAAGGTGCTACTGTAATGTAGTGGGCAGAGGCCAGGGATACCGCTAAACTGCTAAGCATCTTACCACCCTACAGGGCAACCCTGACAGCAAGGATTATCCGGCCGTGTGTGTCAGCAATGCTGAGGCTGAGAAACTCTGGAGTAGAGTTAAACTGTTAAGCATGTGGGCTTTAAATTCAGATTACCTGGGTTTGAATTCTAGCTCTGCTACTCAGCAGCTGTGTGATCCTGGACAACTTACATCATGTCTCTAAGTCTCAGTTTTCTCCTCTGTGGAACGGTTTTAATAATAATGCATACTTTATAGGGTGGGTGGAGGCAGTAAATGAGATAGTATATGCAGATTGAATCATGCCTGGTAAAGAATATTCAATAAATATTAGCTACCATCATCACCGTTGTCATATTTATTCAAGATGCTCTTGCCAATACTCTGGTAATGGAGGTGGTAGGAAGCTCTATTTGTCTTCTGTCCTTCTCTGCGATTTTGCAGACATCCGCAATGCTTGGTGCTGGGAGAAGACAGGATGGTAGAAATAGATAATTCATGGTAATTACTACAAGAATGCCAATTCAATCATGCTAATGGGTGAGTGATAGGTGATGAGTATTGCTATTTAACAATGAGTCTACTCACTAGTGTTTTGTGACAGTTAGTGAAAAAAAAATAGAATCCTGAGTCAATATTTAAATGAGTAATTTGTTCTATGAAAAGGTAGAAGAAAAAATTAATATAGCTGTTGGGTCATAGTTTTTGACAGTATTTTTCTCATTTAGAAACCAAAAGTAAAGCCATGTCCCTCCTCATTATTTCCGGCTGTGACATATATTCTGAATGATACATATTCTAAATCACTTATTCACTACAATGCACACACAAATGTCCATTATTTTGTATCACCCACTATTTTGTATTTTGTATTACCTGATACAGGCTTGTTAACTGAGAATATCTGCTAGCTAAAAGGGTTTATTTTTACCGAGATGGAGCCCAGACAAAGGAAAATGAGAGGTCAATAGTAGTTTAAAGATGACACTGAATTTGTCTACTAAGTTTTTTAAAAATCAAGCTATTTTGAGGAACCCATGGTATTTTGTCATAGCAAGTAGACACTTTTACCAAAGCTATTTAGTTGGGACTCATTAAAGAAAGTCTCCTTGCCCATTTTGCCATTGTCTTGTACAAGGCACTTGCTTTAGTCAATAGCTGCAAAGTCTTAACACTATGGGATAATCAGGCTAAAAGGTGACAATGAAGCTATAAAGCAGCTGTCTGAAAACTTAACTCTGTACGAAGGAGAAAGAACAAAAAGAATCCATTCTGTGTCATGTACCCAGAGATATTTTGTGATCTGTGTAGAAAAGATTTGAATCTTAAAATTAGTGAGTAGAAAAAAAAAAAAAAATTAGTGAGTAGAAAAGGAGGTGTCCTTCTTAGAAAATAAACCATTAGTTTTGCTCAGGTTTGCTCAGGTGGGTTGACAACTTGGGCAGATGTTTGGCAAGGGACGAGGATAGAAAGGAGCAAGAGGAAAATGAAAATTCTGGTGTTCTATGCCACTGTGTAATGACTATAGTTAATAATATATAATTTAAAATAGCTAGAAGAGGCTGGGTACAGTGATTCACACCTGTAATCCCAGTACTTTGGGAGGCCAAGGTGAGTGGATCACTTGAAGTCAAGAGTTCAAGACCAGCCTGGCCAACATGGTGAAACCCCTTCTCTACTAAACCCCATCTCTACTAAAAATACAAAGATTAGCTAGATATATATGAAAAAAAAATTAGCCTGCTGTGGTGGTGGGTGCCTGTTGTCCCAGCTACTCAGGAGGCTGATGCAGGAGAATCATTTGAACCCAGGAGGCAGAGATTGCAATGGGATGAGATCATGCAACTGTACTCCAGCCTGGGCAACATAGCAAGACTCTGTCTCAAAAATCAAAATCAAAAGCAAAATAATAAAATAGCTAGAAGGAGGACATTGAGCATTCTCAACACAAAGAGAATGACAAATGTTCGAGATGAGTATGCAAATTACCATGATTTGATCACTCTAAATTGCATGTGTCTAAATATCACTATGTACCCGTGGAGCCTGACTCAAGTTCGAAGTACAGCTCTGCCATTTGTTCTGATGAGTTTGGTTATTTCATTCTTTGTGCTTCAATTTCTTCGTTGTGCAAAATGATAAATTACTGTGAGGATTAAGGGAGTGAATACTGGGAATTGATAAGGACAGTGCCTAGCATACTAGTAAAAGCTAATATTATTATCATTTGCCAGAACATAAAGGGTAATCAAGACTTTAAGCTGAATATTCTAGACCTGTTGATTTTGTCCAATGTTACTTGCCAGAATAGATTTCCTTCTATTCCTCTGCTGTCTTTTCTTTCCCTTAGCAAAACCTTCGTGGCTAAAAACAGGATTGATTAATCAGAGTGGGTCCCTTTTTTTTTTTTTTTTTTTTTCAGAGTTATTGACAGCACTCTCAGAACATTAAAAATCTGCAGCTAATGCAGCCATCAAAAACGATGAGCTTGGGTCCTTTGTAGGGACATGGATGAACCTGGAAACCATCATTGTCAGCAAACTGACACAAGAGCAGAAGATCAGACACCACATGTTCTCACTCATAGGTGGGTGTTGAACAATGAGAACACATGGACACAGGGAGGGGAGCACTACACACTGGGTTCAGTTGGGGGGAAATAGGGGAGGGACGGTGAGGGATGGGGAGTTGGGGAGAGATAGCAAGGGGAGAGATGCCAGATGTAGGTGATGGGGAGGAAGGCAGCAAATCACACTGCCACGTCTGTACCTATACAACAATTTTGCATGTTCTTTACATGTACCCCAAAACCTAAAATGCAATAAAATAAATAAATGGAAAAAAAAATCTGCAGCTAGTTAAAAACGGAAGCATTGGCTCAAACAAAGGGCTGGGGCAATTTTGTTGTTACTTGTTAAAATCCTGGAATGGATTTCTTAATGGGCACACATCAATAGAAATAATTATTATCGTAGCTAAATTTCGAGTGACTGGTGATTGCTTAGCACATAGTAGATCCTTTTGAATCTTCATAAAAAATAATCATATAAAATAGTTGTTAATGTTTCTCATTTTACAGATGAAGAGAATGGATTCAGAGAGTACCTTTGAGAGTTCACACAAGAAAGTGCAAAATGATTTAGGACAGGGCTGTCAGAGATTAGATGTGCATAGCCTCTCTTGCACCAAAAGTTCCCTCTTCCCCAAACCAGCTCATCCATTAACGTATTAAATTTGTCTGAATTTACTCAATATTCTTAGGGAAATTTAAAAGTTGTGTAGGAAGAATAACGTATGAGCCAACATGAGCACTGATATCTCAGTACGGCAACTTTATTTATTTATTTGGCTTTATTCTTTCACCACCTCATATTTTGCCTCATTCCAGAAATGATTTTATATGGCAAGCTGTTGGTACTGTTGTCATTTAATTTGCCATTGCCTGGTAGGGCCCTGAGGGAGTGCAAAGTTGGGGAGAAGCCTTGGGTTCTTTGGGGTGAGAAGTAGTAACTGGAAGAGAGGCAGAGGAGAAAGCCTGAACCAAAAAGAAGAGCAGCACCATCCCCACCCTTGACTAGGTTCATACTCAACTTGGGGCTAACCACGGTTATGAAGAGGGCACACGGACATTCTGAGACGCAAAATGTATCTGGCATGAACTAACTATGAACATTTTAAGAGTAGGGCCACATAGGTAAGTGAAATCATCCCACTTGCTCCTCAGCAATAAATTTCAGAGGCTGAATTATTTTTGGCCATACCGATGGCAGAGAAGGTCCAAAGTGCTAGCTGGGTTGCTGCAGAGACCTCAGGGAACCATAAGAAAGCCAGAAATTAACATGTATATATATATATTTTGCCCCATCTTAGAGTCTGTGGAATTGACTCTGGAATTGAGTTCTCGGTTCTCATAGTGCTTTAGACATAACAGGTATTTGAATAGTCCTGCTTTATAATAAATTTGTCACCTAAATTGAATTTCCATTAGTGGAAGGGATTTACTTTTTACATATTTCCTTTCTTTGATATAAAATTGTAGAGAACAATAGAAGAAAAAG